GATTTCGTTCAAACTTGGTACATATATTAGACATTACCGGTTCCTGATGCACATCATTTATTTTTCAGATCGGATTCAAAATGGCTGTCTGGCGGCCATTTTGTTTTAATGAATTGGCTTGTAGACCCACATCTCCGACTTGTTTTGACTGATTATATTCAAATTTTAAATATTCATTATACATCATGTCATAAATAAACAGATATATTGGTTTGACGATCATATTCAAAATGGCCGAATGGTGGTCATTTTTGTACAAAAAAATCATCAAATATCAAGCATTTCTGGCATTTATGGATGGATTTCGTCCAAACTTGGTACATACATTAGACATTACGGGTTCCTGATGCACGTCATTTTATTTTTCAGATTGGATTCAAAATGGCTGACTAGCGGCCATTTTGTTTTAATGAATGGGCTTCTAGAGCCGCATCTCTTAAATGCTTTGACTGATTATATTCAAATTTTATATATTAGTTATACGTCATGTTATATATATATACATGTATTCAAAATGGCTGATTTTGAATGCTGTTCCAGAGCAATATCTCTCAATATGGACAAGTACTTGTTTGACGATCAGATACAAATGTCAATCATTTTAATGTGAAAAAATCATATTCCTGACATGGTTATATTCCAGCTATATTACTATAAACAAAACTATATATCTTAAATTTGATAACTAGCGGGGACTGTGCCATGCATGGCTTGTTTTTATTATTTTCGCCTCAAGTTTCTACCTTCCTACTGTCTATGGGTCCCGAAAATATTTCATTAATTATTTTGAGGGCGATGGTCTGAAATTGGTCGATTTCACGACGAAAATCGCGGAAAATAGGAAAACTACAGCGAAATCCCAGTGTTTGGCGCCATCTCGAATAAGTTATCGTGACGTCACGAGGCGTCACATTTTTCCCATTTTACGCGGCTTTCCTCGTGAAATCGAAACCAAGCAAGCTACAGAACTGCAGCTAATGAAATCATAAATAAGAGTTTTGCGGTGGGCGAAATTTGATCTAATTACCACAGCCGACTCCTTTGATATCCTACAATCACCCCCCCCCCCAATACCAAATTAAAGCTTGGTAACTTCTCAGTTTGTACTCGATAGTGAGCGCAACAGTCAAAGTCGCCATTTTTGTTTATACGAGACCACACCTGGCGCATGCGTGGCACAGCCCCTTTATATTAAATATGCAGAACAGCCCACAGCTTTTATTTGTCGTCTCCATCATTACACTACTGCTCCTACGTTATTTTACGCAACTATCCCCATCGTGTGATGGTCTCCCAGAACCACAAGGTGATTCTGACAGAACCTCCCCGAGAAAGATTTCTATTCGAGGGGTGTTCTTGCAATGACGAGCATTATCATTGCTAAACAGGTACTCCTACAATGAAAGATAGAGTGCAACTTTCTTCTCAGTTGTTTTTCTAGTGACAACCCCACAATTCTTCAAATCAGGCAAGTCCTGAAAGAAGTGGCCACTCGAATGACCGAACTGAGGTGAGACGAAGCGGGGAGAGTATGTACAATAAGTTTTGAGTGATTATATGTGCTAATACCAGTCAATATGTAAATGGACTAAATATTTTAAACAGGAACAGTAGAGGTTATGGCAGAAGCTTACTGGAACAGACATTGTCTGTCTGAATGGAGTTTTGACTCAGAGGTCACAAAGGCTCTATATTAATGGTTGTCCTGGACAAGCATATTCAGCATGGGACAGCCACATTTGAAAACAAGATGTCCATTGAGACGTCCATGAATATAAATGATTACAAAAATAAAATGCATATTTCCTGTTTCAATATTACCCATAAATTCACTTAAAAATACACTCCAAAGTAGTTTTTCCTGAAGATGTCAATAAAACTATCTCCATTTGAAAAATAACGCCATATTGAAACTAGAGATCTTGTTCAAATCTCGCCTCTCGAGAGATTTCAGTGTAATCGTGATCAACTGTGAGGGCGCTATTTACCACATTGCTCATAATCATGTAGACTGGCAAAGTCGGGACTTCTTTTTTTTTGTTTTACAAACAGAATATAATTGTCAATTTAGCCTTTTTAACGTGATCGCGAAAACTAGCGCGACTGCGAAAGAAATCCCGACTGGCGTTGAAGTGCTAACCGGAGCGAAATCATTCTGGTGATTATGCCAATTAAAAGTTGTTGACTAGCATTGACAACGAATCAGAGTGTAACTCTATACGTCTTATCTTATCTATGTGACCTTTCACTTCTGAGGTCCCGGTGAGTGTGAAAGACTACTTATATACATTGGACCATGGAGCTAAAAAAAGGAGTGAACTCCCTTTGATGCTATTGTTACCATGACTTCTGCCGACTATTTGGTCAACAGATAACACTTGACGGGTTTATGGGGGGGATTACTGGACGTGAACATTTAATTAGTCATGATCGGACGTTCTCGGATGAGTTCGGTCGTTATTACAAAGCAGGGTGAGGGACGAAAAAAAATTCATGATTGGACATTTAAATCGACTTGTTTTCAGTAAACATGGATGAAAGTATCGCCTTTGCACTTAGCAAGTATCCATCTTTGCAATCAAATCAACCTTTACATTGTAAAAGGTTATGTTTACTTTCACAAACCCACTCATGAATAATCATGACATCATGAATAATTAATAGCAGTCAAATGCCCGCATATGCGTCCAGTCGGGATTTCTTTAGCGGTCAGGTTAGTTTTCCAGATCACGCTAAAAGGACTAAAAGAACAATTATTTCTTTTTGAAAAACAAAAAAGAAGTCCCGACTTTGCCAGTCTAATGATCATGCTTTTTTTTTTTATCTCACTGGACAACTATTTTCTTAAACTGATGGCAAACTGGACTCTATAACAGAAGGTTATCAATCACATAGCTAAGAAAATACACACAATGTTGTAATAATGAAAATTTACTGAAACAAAAAAATGCATTGAAAATAAAGACAATGAAATGCATCAAAAACAGACAGCTTACTTGAAAACAATGCATTTTTTCTAAAAGTTGTTTTTTTACAGCAAGCAGTATTAAAATTAAGTATTCACCAGAGCTGGCATGACACGTGATCTTTTCTAATGGTGTCATATGAAATCTAGTATTTACAGTAACCATCCCGCACATCAAAAAATTAGCATTCAACAGTAAAAAAAAAAAATGTTCTTGCCTTCTTGGTGAAAAGCAAAGTTTTTATATGTTTAGTATCATTGTGGACATTACGAACACAATTTAGCAACCAGGAATGTTATTTTTTTTTCTATAATAATTGCAATAGATTAAAGGTAGTTGTCAGCGATCAAAACTGAACCTCAAATATTTGACCATATTAGAATAAGCGAGAATTCAGTAAAATTAAATTTTTCAAACAGTATGCCGTTCAACAAAGATTGGATGCAATACAAGTTAAAATAAATATCTAAAAAAACAAAAACAATTTAATTAAAAAGAAAAAAGCAATACAATGCACTTTGTTTTTGAATCACACATCCCAAAGTGAATGTGTTGAAAGAGATTGTTTGTATGTTTTTATCAGAAATACATGTTTCATTTAAATGAGCTTGGCACTTCAAATGCACCTAACATATTGTTCAACAGATACTGTTTTTGACCAAAATGTTGATGCCACAAATTTCCAACTATAGGTTGAAATGAAAACAAATTGTGTGGTTTTGTTTTGTAAAAAGCGACAAAGTTGACTTTGGCATTCAAGGGTAAAAATAAGAGCAAGGGATGCGTGGGTAGTGTGTAGTGAGAAGTACAACACAACGTCTGAAAAAAAATACATTCCAGGATGTAAAGTGAAAATGCATATATTTGTTTTCTCAGTGTGTAACATTTTATACAACTTTCAATCAAAATATTTTATGACAAAATATGCATAGATTGAAAGTATTATTTGGTGCAATATTCGAAGAAATTTGTTCTCGTTTTACTCGCTTGAACGCATCTAATGATGTGCATGCAACTGGAACACCATCTTCATATTACACAGACTTCTGGGAAGACTGAGAGAACCTTACATACTTCAGATAGTGGTTAACGCTGTTTGAGTTGTTTTTTAAATTTTGAAGTTATTATCCATTTTCAGTTACGTGCTCATTCTTCTCGTCATGGAGTCAGCATGATATGCAAGATTGTAATAAATGTATTTTTTCCCGGAGCTCTATGCGCTAGGGAGTGGCATGTAACAGTTTCTGATATAAAAGAATGTGTATACTAACTGAAGAAACTGTAGACTTGAGCATGTCTTGTATTTTGAATTCTTGCAAAATTCCAAATTTAATTCTCAGTATGCAAAAACTGCATCCCCTAACATTTTATCTATTCAATAGCGAGACCAAATCAGCGCACACATTATACTATACTGTAGAATACTTTATTTTAGCTGGAATTAATTTTCGCTGAAAAAACTTTTTGGGAGTTTTGTGTGGATTTTATTTTCACTGAGTTGAATGTGAAATATAGAAAAAAAAGTATATTCACTGGATTTTATTTTTACAGAATCACACCTTCAGCGAAAATAGACAAAAATAAATTCCAAGCGGAAATAAAGTATTTTACAGTACGTCCTGTAACATGGCATATTGATGATGGTATGATTCCACAGAGCCAGTTATTGGGGGCAGATCCATGGTGTGGGTTTGTACATTTCACAGTAAAGAGGGCAATTGAGCTGAATTCATTTTTCTGTACACTATTCTTATTATGCATATACGCAATGCATTATGGGATATACATTAAATATTATCACACTGAAAATTAAAAATAATTTTTTTAATCCTTCAACCAAAGCTGGTTAGATGTTGTTCACCTGCACACAGCTTGTATATTCTAAAGTTTTACAGTATGTGTGTTCACTTCAGCTCAGTATCAAGGCATTAAAAACACAAGGAAAAAAAAATTCCAAAAATCACAGCTCATAGCTTTACAAACACGTAAGGCAAAATATTTACCTTTTTTCCAGTAAAATGCAGACATTTCCCCCAAAGTGACCCGCTGTTTGAAAACAAGAAGTATAAAACTAGGGATTCCGTGGATCAACCAAACATGAACACTCCTCGGTGGGAAAGTATTTCTGAATACGTTGATTGTTTTTACTTATGTTTTAGGCTAAAATTGTTTTGAATACTAGAATTTACATCTTTCTCCATAATTTTGGGCATGCATATATTACTATATTTCATATTTCAAGTCAAAAGCTTGTTTGAAATGCAACCACTATTCAGCTCTGGGCAGGAGGTCAAAGGTCAGGTATAACATTTTGAGTAACTGTACTAGGCATAGAGTATTTTTTAATCCAGTCATCACAGAAGAGCTGATCAAAAATAAGCAATTTATTTGGTTACAGGAAAGCCAGCCAAGTTATAGAGCAGTGTATACTATCTGTAAAGTCTGGCGAAGTCCCTTAGTGCATAGGAAACTTTTTTCTGATCTTCAGCGCTGTGAAAAAAACAAAACAAAACAGTATAGGATTTGGTTTATTGCTGGTTTAAAGCAAGCAATCAGTCAAAGAACTCTACCAATAGGCTGACACACTGTTGCATCATTTTTTTCTTCAGCATAGTGATGTCTGACAAGACCCTGCACACACAACGTTACATCCGAGTTTGCATTCTACTGTGACATTGTCCTAATAATGTTTTATTACCATATTTGCCCTATTAACAGCGTATCCCTAATAAAAGTGTACTAAAACCAAATATTATATTCATAGCATACCAAATCATTTAGTTAGTTTTCATTTTCTGTTGTAAAGAGCTAACTATAAAAAGTAATTTTGTGGATGGTGTTTGAAGTTGACATTGGTGAACAATGTTGGAGACAAGAACACAGAAAAAGTGCCAGTTACAAAATTGATTCTCCGATGAGCGGCTCGGAAAAACTTGGTCTCTCATTAATATTCACATTTTTAATTTTACATCTTGTTTAAAACCATCAATCAAACTGAATTCAGATTTTATTTGTCCTCATTTTGCCTACAACCAAACTGCTCCATATAACATACCTTGTAACTTGTTTATGAAACTCAGTTAACTGTTTATGAGTGGCAGTGACTGCACCAGTGGTTGTCTCCGTTGGCAACGCTTTTAAAGCTGCTTCCAACCATCGACAGACACTCTGAAATAATAATATTTTATTTAGATTTTATTAATGAAGGTTTAGAAAAGACATAGGGAATGTGTTTTTGATGGCAGTACTGAAATGTTTGTAATAATTTTGTAATAATTGCCAAATCGGTGAATGAAATAAAGCTGTGGAGGAACCCAGCATTCAACATTGGATTTTGGCAAGAGAGAGGAATTAGTAGATTAATTTGATGCATTAATGGATTTCCTTTTCATTATATGTCAGATATATGCTAACATAGTACAACGACGTGTTAATCACAATAACAACTACGTTAGTATATGTTATATGTTATTCGCATGTTAACACATAACATGGTAGTCACATGTTGTCACATGGTAGTCACATGTTAACACACGATAACATGTTAGTTGCATGTTCACACAAAATAACATGTTAGTCACATGTTCACACATAATAACATGTTAGTCGCAATTTTACACACAATAACATGTTAGTCACATGTTCATACACGATAACATGTTAGTTGCATGTTTACACACGATAACATGTTAATAACATGTTAGCCACATGTTAACACATGATAACATGTAAGTCACTTGTTAACACACAGCATGTTAGTCACATATTAACACACAATAACATGTTAGTCGCATGTTAACACACGATAACATGGTAGTCGCATGTTAACACACGATAACATGGTAGTCGCATGTTAACACACGATAACATGGTAGTCGCATGTTCACACACGATAACATGTTAGTCGCATGTTCACACACGATAACATGTTAGCCACATGTTAACACATGATAACATGCAAGTCACTTGTTAACACACAGCATGTTAGTCACATGTTAACACACAATAACATGTTAGTCGCATGTTACACACGATAACATGTTTGTCGCAAGTTAACACATGTTAACACACAATAACATGTTAGTCGCATGTTGTCACATGTTAACACACGATAACATGTTAGTCGCATGTTGTCACATGTTAACACACAATAACATGTTAGTCGCATGTTAACACACGATAACATGTTAGTCGCATGTTCACACACGATAACATGTTAGTCGCATGTTAACACATGATAACATGCAAGTCAATTGTTAACACACAGCATGTTAGTCACATGTTAACACACAATAACATGTTAGTCGCATGTTCACACACAATAACATGTTAGTCACATGTTAACACATGATAACATGCAAGTCAATTGTTAACACACAGCATGTTAGTCACATGTTAACACACAATAACATGTTAGTCGCATGTTAACACACGATAACATGTTAGTCACATGTTAACACACAATAACATGCAAGTCAATTGTTAACACACAGCATGTTAGTCACATGTTAACACACAATAACATGTTAGTCACATGTTAACACACAATAACATGTTAGCCA